GCTGAAGTTTTTTTTGATGCTTATTTCATGCTTAAGTTTTTTTTGATGTTTATTTTAAGTTTTTTTTTGATTCTCCGGTCTAGTTTTTTTGATGTCTATTTAGTTTTTTTTTTGATGCCTCACCCCTTCCGGAGCCACACGCAGCGCGCCTTCTTCTGTGTAAATAGTAGGTCGTAGGGACCAGATTTGCGCGATGTGTTGTAAATCATAGCATGTGGGGAGTTGACAAAAGCATGAACGCAAGGAGAACTAGCTAAAAAGCAAAAACAGACAACAAAAAAATACTGAGATACAACTCCACTCGTAGAGCAGGGCACTGGTTTCCGGTCACAGGGAGAAAGATCAGGATAAGGAGCCTGTATGAAGAAAGTCTCCGGATCCAGCCTCTTTCCGCTACCAGTGCAGTAGCGGAGGGCGCTCACTGCTCTGGCTTCCCAGGCTGAAGAATCCCTGAATCAGGAAAGCTCTAAATTGTGATGGGGCTCTCAAAGCACACCTTGCAATCGAAGAAGCTGCCCGGAGCGCTCAGCCAGGGCGATCAAGAATCATCACAAGTAGTCTTAAGGAACGAGCAGAGTATGAGTGTTGCAGAGTCTTACCGCGAAAGCGACTGCACAGCAAAAAGACGAACACGAAGCACCGAGCGACTGCACAGCAAAAGGGAACGTGCTGCAGCAAAGACATGACACCTGTGCCGTTTTGCTTTCGGGGTTGCTGAGGAAGACGGCTCGACACCTACACGTCCAAAGGGAGACATGGGCGCCCTGGCCAAGACTGGGAAGAGGGGGAATTATGAGATCTGTACAGCGCCTATGTATTCTACAGCGACCTTGAACTTTCCGACTTCAATGAACCTCAGTCCTTGAAACGGAATGGTGAGAGCCCTAGTTGGCAGACAGACAGCCAGCAGCTGATGCCTGTTGTGCGTGATTTTCCTCTGCGGTCATTGCCTGGGTTCCAAGCATGAGATGAAGGGGTTGAATCGTTCTGGGATTCTTCCCGGTTGCAGGAGCAGCCAGGTGAGACTGCCTAACATTTTTCTGATGTGGCAAGTTGATGAAGTACTTACTCGGTCTCGATGAGTGGGTTATTTGTACGATCATTCTCCCAAGAGTCCGAAGTGGTGACAAGCACAGCGGCGTTCATGAGGCTCTTAGCGCAGCGTTTGACCTCTGTCAAGCACTTTGGATCAGGACACCATATTCGCGAGTTCTTCCGATCAGCGAGATGCTTGGCTGCAAACTACCACTGAAGCACTGCTGTTGTTTGGAGATGTGGATCCGGAGATGGTTGTCGTCGCTCGTAATGTGGTGCTGGGCAGCGCAAGGATCGGCATCTTGGGCCACGTTTTCGACCTTCTGGGTCTTTCTCGCCGTCGCTAGCCTCTTGCCTTCTGTGAAGTGTTCGGGCAAGCGATGCAAGCTCCAAAGGTCGTTGGTTCGAGCACACTTCGCGGAGCAAGAGAGCAATCTGAGGCTACTTGCTGTACTCCCGGCAAGATCTCAAATACTGGTGCAGCCCCAAGCTACGCCGTGAGGGAGTCTAGAGAGCTGTGCTCGTCGAGGGCTACGAAACACTGCGGAGTTGTAGGCAGGGTTCGGTCGGAGTACGGAGCAGCTTGGGAAAGGCTGTTTTGGGAGGCTTCTCTGTCGTTCCTTGTAAGTGGGGAGCGTTGTGAAAAGCAGGAGTTGCCGATCTAGACCTCTTTAATCAACTGTAACACTGTAAGCTTCCCTATCTTCACCGCAGCATGGACTTAAGTGGCCGTCATGGCATGGTGAAAACAGACACAGCAATGCCGAAAAAGGGAGGTGCAACGGAACCTCGTGGCCAAACCAAGTGGGGCAACATGGCGCATGGTTTGCTGCAGGTTGTGAAACGAATCAGACTCAGGACGGATATGTGTACATGTGTGTGTGTGTGTGAGGATATGTATGTATGTATAGTTGGAAATTTACGCTTCCCCTCTACATTTGCAAAGCAGTGTAAAGCAGTAGATCTGTTGCTGTATGATAGTGCATCAAGAGCCTTGTTGCAACCTTTGGCTCAAGGATGAAAACTAACCGAGCTGGGTTGGTTCGTTGGTTCTGCGTCGCAGGTCGGGGTTCCTTTTGGGGTTGCCCTTCCCTTTCCTTCGCTCCTACCCTGACACAGAGTTGTCTCTGTTTGGGGTTGGAATAACTTGTATGTGAGTATGCATGTAGGTAGGTAGGTAGCTAGCTAGCGAGCTAGCTAGGTACGCAGGTAGGTAGGTATGTATGTATGTATGTATGTATTCATGTACGCATGTATACTCGTACATGTATACACATATCATCGCATCCTGGAAATATTTTTCGATACTCTCCCAACATGAACAGTGCGGGCAAGCACGACTATCGGGTCTTGGATGATCAGCTGTTGTCGAGGTGGCAGCACATATTTTCCATGTGCTTCTGGATCTTCATGGCGGTGGTGCGACTCGGTCGGCACACACGTTCGTAGCCGCAATCGGAACGGCTTGGTTGAGGGAACGGTTGAGCGAAAGCAGCTTAGTCATAGTCGGAATTCGAAGGACGTTGCCAGCATGCTTCTGAGAAGACGCATACAGTTCATACATGTAACGAATCGCCGAATGAGACCCAAGTCTGGGTGCTGGTCACAAAACAGAAGCAACACCCGACTTCGGAGGTATCTCGGCATTGTCGACGCACAGACGCCAGGAGATCCAGATGCAGTAGATGACTGGCTGGATGGCTACATTGTCGAGCTCATCCTGTCCATGGAGACCTGGCACTTGCATGGAGGCAACAGGGTCCTCTTTTTCGTCATGCTTGTTAAAGCACGCCACTCTGGGATGTTTTGGCATGGTTCCCGACCATATTTTGGGGAGAAGCTCTACGAATATGTCTGCAAGTTGCTTGTCTCAGGAAAATATTTTCCTCTATGCTCCGAAGCTGCAGTCTGGGAAGCTCTTTCTTTGATTGAATCCCAGTCTTCGCCGCTTGAGTTGACTCAGGAGATTATTCTGGTCTCATTTCGTGTGCCCCCTAAGCTGTCGAGGAAGATTCTGTTCGCACCTAGGCAGCATGTGCGGCGAGTTTTCACGCGCAATGGTTTGTCTTTTACTTGTCGCCTTAGCTGAGGTCACCTCCTTCTGTCAGATGTTTTGGCAGATGCCTGCTCGCAAGAAGATCTCAAAGGATGCCACGGTTCTCGATCTGTCGGCTACGGGTCGTTGTGCATAGTCACCAGCAAGCCGATGGCTAGATGCAATTCGCTCCATGCTGCCCATTTTGTAGTTTTCCTGTCTGTTGATGGTTTTGACTGTCTAGTGACCAGATCCTCTAGAGAAATGCAGCCTGACAAATCCCGAGTGCCGCCAGGATGTGGCTCTTCATGTTCGTGGCAAGCTATTTGCAGGACATCAAGAGCCTGCCATATCTTTTAGGGGCGTGGCTGATATATGTGCCCCGGCAGCAATTTTCTCAAGTTGAGTTGAGCCTTCCAGACTCCTGCCAGACATACCCAACCTTGGAAAACAAGTGCACGGGAGCGTGTTGGACTCTGCACTTTGCGCCTTCCATACCACCTGCTACTTGCAGATCGGTGTCGCAAGCCTTCGGGAGGACGATGAAGACAGCAGCTCGGTCTCTAAATTAGCTTTTCCTCTGGAGCTTGCAAATTTGAGCGTATATATTACAGTTATTGCAGCTGGAGTCACTTCGGGCCTTTTTCTGTGTCAAGGCTTCGATCCGGAGCACTCCGATCTGTTCAGAATGCTCCGTACCGGCTTGGGTGCCCTATCTGAGAACTTAGACACGGTGGACATTTGGATCATGTGTGGCTTGTGTGGCTTCTACCAGAGCTGTGTGTATCGCGTGCTTCCGAGGCAGCAGGCTCATGCCGCATTATCCTCATGACGGCAGCGCCACGGATGCAAAGGACATGCACGAAGAATGTGCCTTCAAGTCTCACTTGCCTGGAACTTGCAAGATGTGTTCGTTTTTTCAGACTGTAGGTTGCACAGAGCGACGGAGAGAGAGAGAGAGAGAGAGAGAGCTGGCATTGGGAGCCGGGTTTTGGCATAGCAGCGCACTTGCTACTTCAGTCAACCCGAGCCTTCAAACTTGAACAGAGTGTGTGCCTCCAAACAGAGAGAGGGAGAGGGGATGAGATCATGGTGTCTCAGCTGGCCAGTGCAGGCATGTTCAAGCGCGACGAGAGTGGCAAGCTGTGTGTGACCATGCTCCTGCCGGTCACAGCCTGCATCGTCGTCATCATGTTGGTCATGGAGGTAGACGTCACGCTTGCTAAGATTGAAGCCTGGCTTTCTCAGAGTAGTTGTTATGTGAGACCTCGTTGACAGGCACCTCCTGCTTGTTGTGACAGGCTATATTTTCTTAAGCAGCCCGAATATTGACGTTGACAACGCTTCTTGTTCATTCTGCTCTGCCAAGCCGATCGGCTTGCTGCACAGGGTGTGACGATTTGGAGCCGTGTGGCGGTCATGATACTCTGCCAACACGCACTGCATATCAAAACGCGGCTTTCGCCAGGCCGTACCCATGATTCCCACTTCGTTAAACTTCCGACAATTAGTTCCTGCTGTCAACGGGGAGCAAAGGACTTCACGGCTCAGTGATCCCTGCTTAAATTCTCCGTATCCACAGGTTGCATTCGGTCCATCGCAAGTCCTGCCCAACTGTGCTACAGACCCTCCCATCGGCCTGTCGGTTTCTGCTTTGGCTTCTAATTATCGTCTCAGTGTTTGGTTTCAGGATAGTTTTTCCCGAAAGCTTCAGCGAA